TGGGCAGATACATAAATATTTGACTGAAAATAAAGATGCGGGAATTAAAACCCTAATTAATCTATTACAAACCTCGAAACAGTTACAATAATTGTAAATAAGTAAATATGCGCGAGACGAATTAAATTCGGGAATAAATTAAAAGCCTAAAAAATGTTTTTGTATTTTTTAATGAGAAAATAATTTAATTGCAAATTAAACCTAATTTCTAGTTAATTTTAATTAATAAAAAAAACAACCAAGTTAATCTAATTAAACTAATTTATTTTTAATAATAATTAATTTTAATAAAAAACCTAATTCTATATATATATATATATATATATTTTTTTTTTATTTAATAAAAAAATTATTTTTGTTGTTTTGTAAAAATAAATAATTAACAAATAATTAAAAGACAAAAGAAATAAAGAAAAGAAATGATTTTGGGCCTGGGGTGCTGTTAATAATCAGGGGGGTGAGGAGTTGAATTTGTTAGGCCCACTTTGTTGGCCCAGATCCTGCGTGAGATACGGTGGAGTGGCTTCTAGGAGGTCCATCATGCACACCTGGAGCTGGAGTGTTTGATCTGGCGCTGAAGAGATCCAATGGTGATGATAGGCCAGTACAGGGTGCACGCGCTTAATCCTGGGGCGCTGAATCGGCAAGTAGAAATTAGAAAAATAATATGCAGGAGGAAAGGGTCAAACCCCTGACCTCCGACACATGCAATGCCTTAACACCCTTCACTCCTGCCATCTGAGCCAATTATCAATTCATTTATACAAATAAGCATAATAATATATATATGAAACAAGTGGATTATGATGATGTGTCAAAACGCGCACTGAGATGGGCCCCTGGATATTTAAAACAACCAATCACATGATGCTAACATGCCACGCCAGCCTACGCCCGAGTCAACTGGCCGGAGGGACGTCGGAGTCAAACTCCGGTCGTCTTCTCCAGGATGTCAAAAACGTGAAACCTGCGAAATCAAAAAAATCAAGGCCTATAATCAAGGTTACCCCCCTAAATCAACCCTCTTGAATCCGTTTATGGGGTTCGTTTATCCTAAACCGCCTATATTGTGAAGTATGGTGAAGAACACAGATCGTGCCCCATAAATGGCACGATCTTGTTCTATCCCCTTTTCTCAAGTATTTCACGTTGGACCTGTCTTATAGGCTACCCTGAACACAAATGAAACGTTGAAGGAAGTTAATTCATCATAAAAGTCAAAATATGAATTCAAGAAAAATACCAACGATGAGTGTTTCGATTTGGTGCTTCTAGGCGTGAAATTGCTTGAATAAAGACTGGTACACGATCCTGGGCGTGGATGAGAGGCTTAGGTTGGACTGAAAGAGGCTGGAGCCTGTTCTTTGGATTTTCACGATTTTAAATGATTTTTTCAATTTTGGTATGAGCGCCTAGGGTTGTGTATCTGTCCCCTTGTGCTTCTGAATAGCCATGCCTATATAGTGAATCATATTAGGTTAACAAAATTGGAAGAAATCTTTGCTTTCATTGAGAAAATAATTTCTTTCAATAATATGATTTTTTTGTATATTTGGACAAAATCAAATCTTGCTATTTCTCCATGATATTTCCCTTGATATGCCAGCAATGTGTGTCCCTTATTTGATGAGAAAAGATTCCAAATCCAAATCTTTTATTAACTCTACTATTTATTTATTTAATTTTGCATTTTAATGGATAAAATATCAAAATAAATAATATAAATAATATAAAGATGCATGGGTCGGCTTGGAGGTCTTGGACTAGGCTAGGAGTGTGTTGCAAGCATAAAAAGTTAGGCCTATTTGAGGAAAATGTAGTTTTGAGCATTATTGACTTTGGGCAAATTTCCAAAAATAGCCAACTTTGACAATGCATATCTCCCTCAATTTTGACCCTAAGAGTGGGTTCTTGGACTTTTTAGAAAGCTTAGGAAGTCCCCTAAGCAACCTCTCTGGTTTCATCTCAATTGGATCTTCCATTTTCATGTAAGAAGCTTTGACCCAAAAGGTGTTTTTGTTGACTTTTGTTAAGGACCTATAATGTCCGAATTTATATCTTTTCATGAGTGCATTTATTTAACATGAGGGATGAATATGAGTTGTAGGGAATTGGACTCTGTTCAAAATGAGCCTTGGATGAGAAATTTCTGGTAAAGTATGAGAAAGTTATGCCTAGTCAAAGTTTGGTTGACTTTTCCTATAAGAACCCTAATTTAGCAACTTTTGAGTTTTGATGAATTAGGAGCATTCCTTGAGGAATCATGATCAAACCTTGATCAAATGATGGATATCACTTAAAAATGTTGATGTTAACCAAAAATCTTGAAGTTTGACTGTATGTGGGTCACAGTTGACTTTTGACCTAGTATAGTTGATTTTCAGGCATTTGAGCAGTTGACTGAGCAAACTTTTTGTGCAAGGCATGAAAATTGTCATGGATGATCTTGAGGACATATTAGGGCAATGGAAACCATTTGGGACCCTTGGAACTCAAACATCTTGATGATAATGGAAACCCTAGTTTGAGGCTCATTGTCTTAGGAGGAGGATTTGTCTGGCCAATCCTTAGGCATCCTTGGGCAAGTTGAGGACTTCAATGAGTATATTTTAAGTAAAATGGGAGGGGAAATTTTGGGGTACAACAAACGGTATCAAGGATGCAGAGGCAACAAACTCTATCAAACTCATCAGATATCTTCCACATTGGCATCAGTTAACAACTGAAGTGATTTCACATAAGATATCTTTTGCCATAGTAGAACCTTCTCCACCCAATGCATATAGTATATATTGTGCTCGTAAACCATCTATACCATATGATGTTCCTTTGGAAAATGATTTAATACACTTGAAGATAATATCAACTTCAGCCACTAGAGGAGCTTCAGAGAACAAAGGGGGTTGGCATGGAGAAAAGTGGTTTGTATGGATGTTTATCCTCCAAAATATTCATTGTATGTCTATTATAGAGGGGTCATTCTGGATGAGCATAACACTTTTACAACTTTTGTGAAGTGGTCATTTGCAACATTGCGTAGGCATCGCTTGATATTACAGCTCATCTTTTTAATCTTTCTCCTCAATAGGAAAACCCCATGATCCAAATTATCTTGCTCAAAGCTTCCTAGCGCACTATCAGCTAACTTGACAAGATCATATGTGTCTCTCCAAGTAGCTAAGCACTCCATAATGTATTTTTGTTGCAAGAATTTATAATTTCTAGGCCCGCGATTCCGCCTATTCTAAGTCTTGACCACCTGTAAAATGCAATAAGTAAGAAGTAACAATCTAACCGAAGCACTTACAAATATCAACTCAGTAACCACCTTATAAAAAGCATCTTTCAATGGTTAAGAGAAAGCAAAATGACACCTAAGCAATATACTTTTCAAGGCGAAGATAGATTTTGTAAGGACTCTTTCTAACATACTTACATCGAAAACAAACCCCTTATTTGCATTGAGGTTATCAGAGTCTGTTGTAGATAGTTTTACAATACCCATGATGTGACTTGTGACCTTCCATGTCCCATGAGTAACATAAACCAAATCATCAGGATGATGACATGCCCGACTCATGGCATGAATGCTCATACACCTTCCACGTAACCATTGTTCAACCACCCTTAAAGAATCCTCCAATTCCATAAACAAATCTCGATCGTTCTCAATGGCTTTCCGTAATTCGCTTTTTATTTGTCACTATATAGGTGTAACGTCTTAAGATGAGATACCATACAAAAAATATTCTTGCTTCCTTCCTTGCCATCAAGACAACCATGAAATCCTCGAAATAGACAATGCAAGCTTCCTATCTAAGTAGAAATCATTGGAAAATACAAAATTATGCTTCCCCTACTCAATACACTATATGTTTAATTGAGAAATTTTAACAAGCACATTGTGAGCAGAAGTTAAAGAGAAGTTCGCCATGAATGTGTTGATGTCTTACTTTACTGTGTGATCATAACAATGAATCGCAGGCAGATATGAAAACGCAGCTAGTAACCAGAAACAAAATTACATATTTTGAGAGATAAAGAGAAGATAATGGTAAATGAGCTTGAAAGAAAGATAAAATTTTAAAAACTAATCTTTTGTGATGAGATTTCATGCACGTACATTAATCTACAACATATTTGATTAATAAATTAGAGAGACTCAAAATGTAATAGTATAAGACTTGTAATAACCCTTGGAATGTAGTATGATTTTTCCATCCTATGCAAGTTTGACAACTAGGAATGACAATTAGACCTATTTTCAGTGAGTATCTCCAAAATTTATCTATAAGAGGTAGGGTAAAAATTTGTAAAATGGATACGGACATGGACACAAATAATTATCCATTAAAATAAGTGGGTATAGGCGCAACTACGACTACCTTAGTATCTATCACGTCTCATACCCGCATAATATATATTTATGTGCTTTTATTTTTATTATTATGCACACAAATTAATTTATCAATTTTATTAAATATATCACTATTAAATTATATATCTATTTGCTTATTTCTTAACTCAACCATAACATTATTGGATTTTTTTTAGTGTTATTAAAATCTTAAAATTACATGATCAATTCTTTTTATTAGAAATGCACGTGGATATGTATAGGGTATAGATATAAGTACAAATGTTGGCGCCTAAGCTGTGTATGGACTTAGGTAACTGGATTTTTTTCAAATTACAGATATAAAAACGAGAATTATAGTACCCTGTTCATACCCACTCATTGTCATCCCTAACAGTAGCACGTCCTTCAGTTCGGTCAAATACTAAAAGCTTATTAGTACTTCATAACATTTCTCTTAAAATTTCTTGGTATACATATCTTTGTTTCTCTAATAGAAATATAATCACAAGTTCTACACTCTAAGTTGATTCAAATTTGTATCCAGAACAGTAAATCTGATCAACACCTCAATACTCAATTGTACTCTAGAATCTAACAAGAATAGAGAGAAAAAAAAAACTATTTTTTACATTTAAAATAATCATCTACCCAATAAAAGTTTAGGTGGTAAGATCCAAGATGGGTCAGCATACCGAGCAGAAAATGAACGTGGTAGATTATCTGCTTCCATCCACCCTGTTCCTTGATCAAAGTTCATAGAATATGTTTCTTCATCATAAGATACACCATCAATATCCACCCTAGAAGATGCAGAAGAAGAAGCATAATTGAAAACTTTCTTCTTATCTCTTCTCACCTTTCTCCAAATCTTCTGCCACACTGTTTTCTTGCTGTCGTCATAGCTTCTATGATGATTATGTGGCTTTGTTGTATAACTCCTACCTAAACGTGCTTCATTTCTTGAACCAAACCACTTCATCTTCTTCATTTCCATTTTCTGTTTTAAGTCTCTTTTTGGTGTGAACTATCCTTAATCTTATCCATAATCACTTATATAATAATTGTTAAGCTGAAATTTGGCTTGGACCGCCAACCATAGCAGCAATCATTGACTTATGTAATGTAAAACAGCCATTGGATTGAAGCAAAATAAATATTAAACAAATAATTTTCTAGTGTCAAAATTATACTACTGTTGAATGAGTCTTTGTTTTACACTAGCAGCTGCCAAACCAGGAAATGTAAGCTTGATATTTTATTAAAAAATTAAGAATTAAGAATTAACACAAATATAATCACACATGCATCTTAGTAGATTTTACCACCTTTGGATGCAACTCCTGAACATTTATTCCGTAAACAACACATGTTCCTTTCATCAGTTTCACATGGATAAGATGCTGAACATAATTAAAGATTTTAACTTATTCTATCATTGTACATACTGCCAAACCAGATACAGCCACTAAAGATGAGATTCTGTTTCCATCTTTTTTCATAAAGCCAAGATTAATGAACAGTTGAACACACTTCTCTGACTATATGTATGCATTTTTTGATTAAGATACATCATGTCAATAGCATAATGAGTCATATAATATGACTAACTTAAAGTTGATCAAAATATCATTTTATTAAAAGTGACTTTTATCTCTAAATTATTTAGGTCAAAATAATTTTGTAAGATGGTCCCACTATCTTAAGGCACATAGTTGAACTTTTGAAAATGTTTCCATCATTGAGGATAATTAAAACTACATAGCTATATGGCAAAATTTTCACACAAGATTGACAAATCAGCATGTTAAGCTAAAACTAAAACATGTATGCTGCAGTTTCTTGTGTGAGGATGCAGCAGAACTTAAGTTTAAAATTACACATAAATAGAAATTTTCTAAAAAGAGAAAGAACAGAATGTTTGTCACGCTGCACCGCCACCTTGAGATTGTGCAATTGACTTCAGCTTGTTATAAGCATCAGAACATGCATGAGTATAGTCCGATAGCGCGCGGAAGAGCTCAGGCAGACGAGTTTTGAGACTCTGGAGTGACTTCTCTCTTACCTGAACACATATTTTTTTGTGAGATTCAGTTTCTTCTTCTAATCTCTTCTTCAAGCTCTCAACAACAAACTGTTTCTCCGAAACCGGATTGTTCGTATTTCCTTCCTCTCCATCTTCTGGCCCCATTTTTTGTAAATGCTTTTGGTACCAATCCTGAAAAGCTTGGTTTTTCTTCAAGAATTCCTTTTGAATTTCCTCACATTTCTCCTTTAACTTCATCTCTTCCTCCTGCTGAAGTATGATCGTTTTTATCACAGCAGCAAATGAGGAAATAGCAGATTTCGCTAGTTCATCGGGAAGCTTGTCAAGGTAATCGTGCCATGCATGGAGAAGGGTTTGAATTGGTGGATTATGTGCTCTTGGCGGGGACGAGACTTTCTCTTTTAGGTTGCTTTCGATGGGAATGAGATTTAACTTGAGCCAGTTATTAAGAGCTTGAATGTAATGCTTCTGCTGAGTCACGAGCTTCTCAAATTGTGACTGCCATTCTTGGATTACATTCCAAAGCTGTATGGTACGGTCATAATGATGTTTGGTTGTTTCCTTCTGATCTTGAGAAATATCAAGAGATTTGAGGTCTGTTACTATTTTCAGCTGACTGTCATGATGCATGAACATACTCTCCCACATATTGGTCATCCTGAAAAGAAATCAAGTAGGTTTGTGATTAAGATAAAGATCCATTTGTGATGCAAAGAATAGAAACTCGGTACACGGTTGGTATGATCAAGCCAAAGATGGACAAAATTTTAAATCATGTAGAAGTCAATATCATAGCAAATTGAAAACTAAAAAAACCATAGCATTAAAATGATTATTAAGCTATTAATCAACTTCTTCTATAGTATTAAAATGCTTAGATTGGGATGGTTAAAGAAAGTTCACAATGACTCGAGTTTCTTCCACTATTCTTCATGCAAGCATAGTTACTCACTACCACTAAGATATTATCAAATACATAACTCAATATATCAACTATATCTCATTGGTTTCCCATTGGCAATACTTACTCAATAACAAGAGCAACAAGCTTGGGATACAACTGAGCATCGCGAATATGGTTCACTTCTGAAACTGTTGAATCCATCGACTGCATATCAACAATATATCTTGTGTGTAGATGACTTACGGCCGCTTTAGTTTTTCCTAAAGAATCAACACTGGCACCACGCTTCTTCTGCTTGTTTAGAACTGAAACTTTTCTTTGATATTCAAACTTCATAAGCTCACCTTGCTGTCAACAATAGCAACAAGTTACAAACAGCAATAAAAACATCGCAATATGAATGAAAGCATAAATGACATAATCGGAAGACGACAACTACCTTGACCTCTTCATAGAGTTTCTTTTCCCAAGCTAACAACTTGTCCAAAACAGTGGCATGTGTTTCATACTCTTCCGAATCAAAATCATCTTTAGCACCCTCCCCGTTCGACACACCCTTGAAGGACCTATTCCATGTTATCACTTTCATGACTCTAGCCGAATGATCAATGTGACCTGGTCATATCACCGCAAATTAGCCTCAACCATACATGTCCATTCCAACTAACAACAACTAACTAAAAACCCTAAACAGGATTTAGGTCGACAATTTATACTTGCTCTCAGAACTTCGGTCTCAACAATATCAAAAAGTACATTTACAAATACTCAAATTATTAAATAAAAGAAAAATAGATCTAATACAAAATGCATTACCCCGATTATCGGCAAAATTAGAATGATAATGCAACCTAGTAGCTTCAAGCATCTTGGAAACTTCTTGGGCAGTCTCAGAAGCTTTAAGAAAATGATCATCAAGAGAACTAAGAATCTGCATGAGCGTAACGGTGGGAACCAACTTAATTGCTCTTCTAAATTCAGCCGGAGCAGTTTTAGAATGTTCAATGTGTTTAGCCTCTCTTATCACATCATCACCCTCATGATCATGAACATGAACATGTCCATGCTCATGTTCCTTAGTATACACATCAACCTCCACTTTCTCCGGCGTCTTCGGTTCAATCTCATCTTCCACGTGTCCTCCATTATCAACAACATTCTCATCTTCAATTTCAATTTCACCTGCATCATTCTCAATCTCATCTTCCTCATTCAAAGAAGCTCTTGCCATGTTCATATCCATGAAGAAATAATCCCACGCCATGTTTTTCGATTCTGGCAGAGGCGGCGGCGGCATCACTTTACCTCCTGGCGGAGAAGGCGGAGCGTGAACCAATCCATCACCGTCACCATCTTTCTCTCTTTCTCCCTCTACCTCGATTTTCGCGTTTTTCTCCATCTCTTCAACAATGGAGACTCCGCCGCTAGGTTTACGGTGCTGCAAAGGCACAGGCGGCAATGTGACAGCGCGTTTGAGCGACGCAGGAGAGAAATTAGGCGGAAGAGGCGGTGGTGGAGGGAGATTCTCTTCCATATGCGGTGGAGGCGGCGGTGGAGGTGGCGGTGGAGGCGGCGGGTTAGATGAACTATGCATCGGCGGCGGGTGAAGTTCAATTTCATCTACATGAGTTTCACCGTGAGAGTAGTCGGAAAGAGCGGCACCGGTGTTCTTGAGAGCCATAGCATAACCGGAATGACCGGCAGCGAAGGCGTTACGAGCAACAACGGCTTCTCTCATTAAATTCTTCCGTTCTTTGCATCGTGCAACTGATTCTTCATTGTCTATTCTGGATTGTGCACAACCCATGTTAAAAATTAAAATGAGATTTTGATTTTGGAGAGAGAAATTAAAGGTTTGAAGAAGTTAGTTGAAGATGAAAATAGAATGTGTGTGATTTGAAGAGTTAGATTTGAGTTTGGAAGCAAAACGACGTCGAAGTGAAGACAAGGGTTTTAAAACTAGTGACTTTGGAAGTAGAATGGTGACAAGATAGTACAGAAAAGAGAGAGTGCAGAGTGAGGTAGTGATTTACAACTGAGATTATTTGTTTTTGATTTGTTTATATTTTGATGAGAGTGAGGAATTTAATTTAAACATATTTATAAAATAACGGTCATATTTTTTTAAGAGAGAATATTTCCGTTTTTTTTTAAATTTCTAAATAAATGAGTAAATCATGCATATTTTAAATTAAGATAATTGAAACTCACGCTTTTTTTTAATGAATACAAAAATTACTTAAAAAGACAAAGGGTTGTTTAGTCCTATTCAAGACTTGGACTTAGTTTTTCAATGGAAGATAATGGTGATTCCCTAATTTTCTGTTAATTCCTCAAATGTTCAAATATTTGAAATAACAATTTGGTTAAGTGTTTTGAAATTTAATTCAGTGACTAATTCAGTCAAAATATTAAATCACTTATTTATTCATAAATATAGATCATTGGTTGGAGCATACGACTACTAAATTTATTTATATTTTAAAAATTAAAAATTCATGACTATTAAGTTTATTTATATTTTAAAAAATAAAAATTCATGACACAAAAATATTAAATATATTTTTTTCTTAAAAAAATTGTATAATTTTTTATTTATTTGTTCAAAAGCAAAAGGGCTGTGATTTAAAAATTTTAATTTTAAAAATTTATTTGTTTTCGTACAAATACAGTTATCTATATACATAGGACATTTTGTTTTAGATTTAAAAGAAATAGATTTTTTCTTTCAATTTCCAAAAATAGATTTTATAATTTTTTTTAAAAAATATTATAATTTTTTTATATTTGATTTTTTTAAATTAAAATATTAATTTTGACATCTAATAACATAAATATATATTATTAAAGATTGAAATATTATTGAAATCGCAATTTTTAAAAAAATTATATTTAAAAAATATTTTTTATTAAAAACTATTTGAAATAGTTTTAAATTTTCTAAATTTTTTATATATAATTTTTTTCTCAATAAAATAATAAAATATTTAAAATAATATTTTAAGAATAATTATTCAAATCAAATTTTTATTTAAAATTTTTATTA